TAAGGGGAGGCACCTAAGGTGATATTAACCAGAAGCAGCTTGTGAGTGCTCTCTATTTGCGCAATACATTGTGATTTTTCTCTTTGACAGCTGTATCCCCAGTATTCTGTGTATTGTGGCTATTTTATAAGGGGTTATATTCTGGGATATATACCCAGGGGCAGCTGCACCTCAAATATATTTGTAATAAAAAGGGTTTTTCTATCCACAAACTTAGGGTGAGGTTGTGGGTTGTTTTGTGTATATTAGGGATGTGCAAAAAATTTGGTTCGGCACTTCTTACATTCGGGACTTCGGCAATTTGTGAATTCAGCACTTTGGCATTTCCCTAAGCCTAATCCTAACCCTACTCCTACCCCTGACTATACCCCTACCCCTGACCATACCCCTACCCCTAAGCCTACCCTAACCCTACCCCTATCCCTAACTCTACCCCTAACCTAATCTTACCCCTTACCCTACACCTACCCCTAAAAATATTTAGAGCAGATCTAACAAGGTATTTAAACTTATAAAATCTTCTATAACTCACATTGTAATGGGGGAAAAAAAGGAAGTTGCACTGTAGCCTGTCCTGTTTTAGCTCTGTTTGGAGGAGGCATGTAGTGATTTGTAGACACACCAAAAGAGGGCACTTAAGAACATTGGAAATTTACAGCAACTCAAACTTATCTTTTGGTTCAATCCTACTAAATTTCAAAGCTTATTTTAGCTTGTGTACCATTACAAAGAAAATCTAAGTTGTTTGCATATCAGACTCATCACACACCTGAAAGGGGTAGCCTAGACCCAAAATGCTGACAAGCTCTATTTGCATGAAAGATAAAGCAATCCCAGAAAATTGTTTTGGCTTTGGTTGGCCTTCTCTGAAGTGTGTTAAACTTCTCTTGACCTATTGAACAAGGGATTACACGTCTTGATAATCCTTTTACCTTAAGAATCCCTTAAGCATTTGCAAACAAACCAGGACAAAGCACAATGCTACACTAAGAATGGAGAACAGCTCAAATAAGGTGACCATTATTCTGACCCCACTCAGTTCGCAAGCTAGTTTTGGCTCACTGCAATTGCTAAGAGAACCATATTCCAATCCAAATATCAGAATACATCCAAATTGCTGCAAAGCTCCCTCTGCAATGGTGATACAGCAACCCCCAGCATCTTAATTTCTAAATAAAATATATGACATAACTGCTTGTAAAAGCAGATACTAATTTGTTCTTCATACTCGAGAAAGGTATCAGTGTCCATCAGTAATCCAGAAGTTATACTCAGTCTTCCATAACAATGAGAATTATGGAAGTTGTAATTATGTGTTCCTGGAACACTTAAAAACACAAATAATATCTTATAAGCAAATTTTAAACATATTATTTCCCAATTTAATGATGTGAGCACTGTTTGCTTGTAAAGATTTTGGCCACAGCTTCAAAATGCTTTCTGCATGCAAAACTCAAACTTGCTCAAATTTCTTTTTTATAATTTAGATTAAAGTAAGCATTCAATAGTTTGAAGGACACTCAAGAATAACTGTCTTGATGAAAATACTGCTTTAATTCCCAAGACTGCTTAGAGACAAAGTGAAAAAAATATTTTTTTTTCTGAAATAAAAAAAAAGCACACAATAATGTTTTCAGTATACCTAATAAATTGACTATATTTAAACATGGTTCATCATTTTGTGAATGCATATTTTAGTCCAAGCCAAGCAATACATGGATTTACAAAAGCCTTTGAACAAATTAATGTTAGTTAGAGTGATAAAATAATATTTTATGTTGTACAAGAGGATGTGAAACAAAGAGGTTATTTTATTAGAGTTTTCATCATTTGGATTGGGAAAGATTGAAGGAGATAATAAAACAAATATAAAGAAAATGATGAGGGACCATAAAAATTGTGAGGTACAAGTCTGCTCTGTCACGTGCAACTAGTGACATTTTTCTGGACAGATAAGGACTGAGTTATGAAAAGTTCTTTGTGTGTACTAAAATTTTAATGTATGATATACATTAAGATTTTGTAAATAACCAAATAAGAATTCAACATAAAAATATCTCAGTAATTAAGAATGGCAGGGTACGGGCATGAAATGTAAAATGAGATGCTTAAATACAGCAGACGTTTTTTTAATTTTCTTTTAAAGCCAGTTAAGACGAATGTGGTTTAAGACAAGACAAGTTAGCAACAGAATATAAATGAGTAACCATGAAAGAGAACTTTTCACTGTGCATAATTAGTGTAAGGAAAATGCGCATATATTTTCAATGTTCCCTTTTGCTTCCATAAAATGCAAATTGTGAGGAGAATAGAGGAGGGTGGCATGTCAGTGTTCAAAGAATTGAATATCTAACTTTTTTTGTTTATATGAACACCAGCACATGCAGGCTCAGCAAATAGCTTTTTATATAGCATATTAATATTAAATGTGCTGAGATTGTTCAAGAACTTTCCAAACATTTTAATTTCACAGTTTTTAAGTTTATTTTAATGAGAGTTTGCAATATTTAGATATTACATTTTCAAGGACATATGGACCTATGTCTATTCTGGTGAAAATTTTTGTCATACAGGTACCTGGTGGAGCAGATGGCTCACCTTAAAGCTTGATTTCTTTAAAAAAGTTGATAAGTGCTAATTAATTTAAGTGCCTGGAGCTTGGGTTAAACAAGAAGGATATTTATTAAGCAGAATATCAGGCATTAACAAAACAGGTATATATAATGAATACTTTGAATATTCCTCCATTGTGGGTATACTCACCAGCACACTATGCAATATAAAACATCATGAAGATACTGAGAGAAATCAGCATCTACATTTTGAGGCAGTTACAGACCTTTTAGACATTTAGCGGTTTTAGCAGGACCTTGTGCTCTTTTAACCCCTTAAGGACCAAACTTCTGGAATAAAAGGGAATCATGACATGTTACACATGTCATGTGTCCTTAAGGGGTTAAACCCATCACTGCAAGGGTTGATTAGTAGATTGGGTACAAGCTATTTAAAGTTTTTTGCAGACATTGAAAATGTGACAGTCATAAACTAATGCAGAAGATGTAATTTGTCTCTGTCTCTCTCATGTATAAATCCGTCAGCTCCAAACTAATTGTGTTTCTTTACATTATTGCCAGTCAAATTAGCAATACTGGTCTTTTACTTGTTTACCTGGTAAGTAGTGAAAGTGTATAAATCAATTACTGAATGGTGATAAATTGGCACATAAATACTGTATTTTCAGCTCACAGTTTATCGTTTCCCTTCCATGCCTGTGTATACATGATCTACGTTTTAAAATAATTATAATTAAGTTACTCATTTATCTTCCTCTCTATTCTAGCAATAGTTTTCAGCCAATGCAGAAACAATTTATGTTCAGTTACTTATTTTAGTCTATCTGTACTAAAAAACCTCTCCTTTACCAGAGATGGATTAAAGGGACACTATAGTCACCAGAACAACTACAACTTAATGTAGTTGTTCTGGTGAGTATAATAGCTCCCTTCAGGCATTTTCATAGAAAAGGTAGTGTTTACATTGCCCCTAGGGACACCTCCAAGTGGCCACTCCTCAGATGGCTACTGGAGGTGCTTCCTGGCTCAGGGCTGCACAATAAGCAGCCCTGCCATTTAGCGTCTCCACACTCTGCATGGGGACGCTGAATTTTCCTCATATAGATGCACTGATTCAATGCATCTCTATGAGGAGTTGCTGATATGCCAAAACGGTGTTTGGCCCTGCCCCCTTGCCAATTTCAGCCAATCCAATGCTTTCCCTGTCAGACCAGCGCGGCACTGGAATTAAGGTGAGATTTATTAACTTTTATGGGAGCTAAGGGGGACGGGGGGAGGGCAAGCCACCTAAATGGTGGGTTAAACACTATAGGGTCAGGAGTACATGTTTGTGTTCCTGACGCTATAGTATTCCTTTAAGGCTGGTCTGATCTATGAGAGTTGTGTTGTGGGGGAAACTCGGTGGTGTGTGTGAGCGGCTAAGTGTGTTGTGTGTGGAGGAGAAGGAGAGATATATGTGGAGGTGGTGGCTGATCGTGCCTGTGTGCACTGGTTGAATAGTTGTACTGGTTATATGTGGTGTGGCTGAATTTTGTATGTGGAGGAGCCCAAGTGTTTTGTGTGTTTGTGTGTATGTGTAAAGGTGTCTGAGTGTTGTGTGTGTCTGAGTGTGTTGGGAAAGGGATGTTTTTATTTAGCCTCCCTTCCGGCTTACTATATGGAAGGATTTGGTAGTTATCCCAGATGGCCTAGAGGAGGCCATTCTTTGCATGATCCCTGGTTGTTATGTGGAGGAGCATTGGGGTCTGCAACAATATTGGGTGCAGAACACTTTAAAAGCTCTTCTAAGCTCTCTGTCAATGACAAAGTTACTGAGCGTTGGCTGCGATGATCTGAGTCATTGAGGAGCACCAAGGGACAGTGACAGAGCTCTTCAAATGATGAACAGATGATAGAGGTGCAGACCACAAAACATCTTAAAGGTAGTGAGGGGGCATAGGGCTGAGCAGGTAGAACTTTTGATTGGGAAGGGACACACTGCATGGAATATTTGCAGGCAGCAGTAGCCAATAATGATTTACATAGTAAAGATCCCTGGTTTTAAGAGTCAGGCAATTATTCCAACTGTAGCTGAACATTATATCCATATTTTGTATGTATATAATATCCTTAATTTCCATATAAAAATTGATTACTTTTATTTTAGAATCTGAATTCATAAGAATGCATTCAGGTTGCGTGTGAATATCCAGGAGCACTGTATTTGTCCATTTTTTCTTTTCCACAACTTCGGTATTTGACAAAAAAACAATATCCTTATGGACTGATATTTTAAAACAACAATGATGAAATTCAATATAAAATATAATAAATTTCATAATGAAAATATAAGGAAAAATAAAATCAGGGTGGCTTCTCTGTCATGGGCCACGTTTAGTGATGTCGCGAACCGTTCGCGAACTTGTGTTCGTGGCGAACTCCGGTCAGCTGACACATCCCTGCCAATCTCCGGCAGACCCTCCCTCCAAGACCCTCCCACCTCCTGGACAGCATCCATGTTGAAGCTGCCTTCAACATGGATGCTGTCCAGGAAGTAGGAGGGTCTGGGAGGGAGAGTCTGCCGGAGATTGGCAGGGATGTGACAGCTGACCAGAGTTCGCCGCGAACGGTTCGTGGCGAACCATGGCGAACCGTTCGCGGCAAGTTCGCGAACGGTTCGCGACATCACTAGCCACGTTGTGATTTTTTTTTTGTCATCCTTCATTGTTTTTTCTTTGTCAATAAAGAACAGTGATCTGATAACACCCGTACACCAAAATAATTACCTACATTTTGCCAAGCAACTTGTCTTCAATGGAATAGATCCATTTTATTATATATCTCCTGAGGAGCCACGCAAGACAGAAGTATATCAGCCTCTTTCTCAACCCTCAAAGATACGAAGAGGGAGTATAGCCTATTTTCAACCTGAGTGATTCAGTATAAAGCATTTTTTTTAAACTCTTTATTTTTGCTACTTTGCATTTTCATTCTACCTGGTGGATCATGCATATGACGAGATCCCGACTTATATAATATAGTGGTTTCATAATATGGTTTCAAGGTTTGGTCTCATAATGGTGATTTATTACAGTGAATCTGTAATTTCTAAGATGATTGTCTGCATGGATTATAGATCTCTTTGGAGGAGTCATACTTACTTTGACCTCACTTTTTACTTCCTGGTACAGTTTGCATTGATGTCAGAATGTTTAGTACAACAAGAGAAAAAAAACAGATATATGATGGTTGTCAGTATTGGAGGCTATACCTGTATACTCCACAATGCTGATTTATAAAGTTTTCATTTGTAAATGAACAGACTTTTCAGTGTAATTTGGGCAGGTATAATACATTTATCTGAAAAGTTATGATTTCAGTACTCTTAGTGACTTTTACCCTTTAATCATATTTTGGGATTTTTTACCAAAGGTCAGAAGGATAGTTTTCTTTTATATTGCGATTGTTACATAATTACAAACATGATTAGGCAGACTATTTGGGCTTAACATATTTAATTTAATATTTACTCTATTTGTTAAACCCAATATCCATTTTATTATTTATCTTTTTTTTTTTTTTTCTGAAAAAAAAGAGGAAAATAATATTTATTAGTTCTTGAGTCTACAGAGTCTACTGGCATTAATGATTAACTGCATTAGCTTCTCAGTTTGAAAACTGACTAGCTCACATATGAATATAAGCTATTACGATGTTGTAAGCTTTGATTTACTTCTTGCTGTCATGATTTCTCACTTCCCTCTTCTCCAGAGGTTTTTATTTACTATCTGAAGGAGAGGTTGGACACTGGTTCTAAAAGTTGTTTCCCTACTCATAGATACAGGCATCCACCTGTTACAGTTTTTTTAATGTTTATTTCCTATTTTTTATATTATATGTCCTTGATTATAAAATTTAAAGGACCACTAAATGCTCCTGGACCACTTCATCCCAAATATATGGTCTGGGTGGATGCCACTATAGTTTTAAGCTTGCAATGTAAAACACTGCAGTTTTGTAGAAACTACAATGTTTACATCACAGGATTAAACACACCTCTAGTGGTTGTCAGTGCATGTTCTCCTCTCTGTTAATTACATTAATGCAAAGATAGCAAATGTTACTATTTTATGGACCTGGGTAGTAGAAGACCTTTGGCTTATTGTTTCTGGAAGAGGTGGATTTTTAAAGATTGTGAGGATAAATATGAGGTCAGGTTTTTAATATATTACACACTTTTGTAAATATATTTGCATTACATTCTCACCAAACAAATTTTGCTTTAAATGTTTAATTTCTAATACCTAATCTACTAAGTTCTAATCATCTATTTACTACTTTTTTGAAATAAAAAAAACACAAAACAGATCAATTTATTATAAAATTGGTAGCAAATGTGTCCTCTTGTTGACCACAGAGATCTAAGACAACAAACATTTAAAGGGATTCAATGGTGCATAGACAAAGTATATCTTAGGGGTATTTGCCCAGATGTTTTTCTAAAAATACACCAAAAACTTTGCAAGGTGTTGCTAAGCATATTAACAGCATCACCAGTGAATTATGACATACACAACATTAGTTCACACCAATAGATTTAAATTTTTTCCTTGAAACAAAAACTGGGGGGGAGGGGTGAAGGAAGGTGCAGATGTGCTTCCTTCTCAATCTTATATATATAAGACAAAATATTTATTCTAAACCATTCATTGTTATCTAATAAACTATCTATTTAAATTGTATTATCTATTTTCTTGTGATATTTAGTGTTATTATATAAAGAAAAAACTTACAATAATGGTTGTCGGATTTGAGGCTCATTGCAATGCTTCATAATAATTTTCACCAGTTGCTATCATCTTTGCATTTTAGAAAATTAAATGTTAAACCCAGATTATTTACTTTAATTAGATTTGGATGATACACCTTAAATTATATTACAGTAATAAAATGGCACCGAATAGTTTTTTTCTGCTTAAGCATGGAAGATTATTTTTCATTTTATGAAACAACTATTATGCTTTATTTTGTATAGAATAACTTTTAAATAAATGCACCCTTTGTGAGCTACATGATAAATATGTATCACTCAATCCTCACTCCAAATAATAATCTATAGACTATTTAAAAGGCACTCAAAGCTTGCCATCGGAAAATGAAATACATCTCTGATATCACATTTGCTAGTTGTGTTATTTAATTCTGTGGAGATATACATAATTAAGAAAACAACTTCAATATACTGTACTGTGTGGGTAAGTATACGGAAAATTCAAAACAAAAAAACACGTTTAAAGCGCATATATATATATATATATATATATATACATACATACATACATACATACATATATATATATATATACATACACACACACACACACACAGTAACTCATGTCAAATTAATTGAACGTTTTCTAAACCCAAAAACTAATTTTTTTTTAAATTCAGGGTTCATTATGCATCTAAGTGGAAAGTTTTAGAATACTACTGCAAAACTCAAGGTTACCCACAAACGATCCACTCTCAATAAAACAAGAAAGCAGAATATCCCTTTGATCCCTTAGTATTTAAATAGTTACACTTTTTTGCTGCTCAGAGCTGATTTGTTTCCGCTGTTTTTTTATCTAGCACTTGCTAACAACTGCAGTTTCTCTAGCAACCACTGCTAGTATGCACTCTCAGAGAATAAACATATCCACAAGCATTCCTACTTCACTGAAAAAAGTTCTTCAGATTCCCAGAAGCCTGTCATCAGGCAGCAGTAGCCTATAATGATCTACATAGTAGAACGCACAACTGTTACTCATTGGAAATGCTACTGATTGAGTAGGGGTCCACACAACACCTTTATTCATGGGGCAGTCCATGAAATCTCCCAACCACCTCTGTGAAGCCACAATGGCAGAAGCTATGTGTCTCCTTTAAGCCTTGTTTCCTTGTTACAATCCTGGTTGTTGTCATTTAGAAAATATCTCAGCTGCTATTGTCCTGAGGTGGCTTTTAATATAAGTTCCATCCCTGGAATAATGGGTTGGGCTGTAATATACATTAGAATAGGTTAAGTCAGTAGACGTCCAGGAAGAGAAGACCAAATTATTTTGCATCAGCAAGTCTTGGGAATTCATATGAAAAGTTATTTCACAGCATTGTAAATGAAACACAAGTTCTGATTCCCCTTTCCTAAAATACATTTAAAAAGGGTGTAATTTTAAATTACATTTAAAAAAAATAAAAATAAATCCCTCTAAAATAAATATTATACTTCTGTTATCCAGCACTAAAGCTACATTTCTTGTCCAGGAAAAAAGTCTCTTAAAAGCACAATTAAAATCTGAAGAAATGCAGCAAAATATAAAGATAACAAAAATACAGCAAAGTAGAGTAGTAGCTGTAACTGAAGAGTCGGTATTATTTGTCAAGTAGAATTTATTTATTGATTTATAAATTATTTTACCAGGATGGATACATTGAGATTTCTTTCGTTTTCAAGTATGTCCTGTATGTTATTAAAACAGTTTGTTATGAAATAACGTTTATGCATAAGAAAGCACGTATTTTTAAAATTCTTTATTTCATCTCTTAGGACCAGTGATGCAATTATTGCATCATGTTTGTCCTCCCCTTAAGGTCCCATGACTGAATTATACAGTATTTTACCACTGTATGTGATCTGAGGAAGCCGATTCTGTAGTGAAACGTGTCATCACGCACGTCCCGTGGTTACGTCATTAGGCTCCGCCTCCAGGAAGTGCCTGCGGTATTGTGCTAGCCGGCAGCGAAACCGTATGCAGTACGTTCCAGAGAAGGACTGAGGGAGCAAAGTGACACCACTTGGGTGATTTTTAAATTGTGAAGATTTATTGAAAATTAAAAGAGTTTTCTTTCAACTTGCTGCCGTCTTGTGACCCTTGGCTTTATATACGAAGCGGATAAAGTTAGAGCAGACTTATCTGCTCTCCACTTGTGAGTTCAACTATATATATTGTCTCCATAGTACAATTTGTAATACTGTATTACACTATGTATCTTTGTTTTTTATACATATGTATATATGAATTGGAGCAACCAGATCCAAGGTATATACAGCTGGGTATTGTAAGTGTTCCGTTCATTTTATATTTTTTCACTATAGCACTGGTATATCAGTGGCATTTGCACCTTTTCACTTTTTTTGCACTTACATCAGTGTATGTAATATTAACACACTTATAAAATAGAGGTTGTGTATTGATATAAGCACCAGAGTGTTCTTAAAGGAATATTGCACATTTGTTTGTCTTAAAGACACAGCACACCCTTTTTTCTGTATTGTATTTTCAGTATTTTATGAGCTATTGCACTTTATAAGGGAGCTGTTTCCAAGGTTTTAATGTTTTTTCTCATGATTTTAGACGTGTATTGAGCGCCATTTGTTACTTGTTCTTTTCTTTGGTGTATTTTACCAGCAGGGACGGTTTCTCTGCTGGCAACTGGGAACCCTATGTATCATTTGATACGTAGGACTACCCTCTGTCAGTTTGGGATGGAATTGATAGCCCCAGACTGACCAATGCTCTGTTTGCAATCAATGTGATTTGTGCTGATCTTTGCCATTTGTACAGTAA